CTCCCACTTCCACGACCCCCATTACCACGAAAGCCCCCACCCCCACGACCCCAGTCACCACGAAAGCAACCCCAGCCCCAACCAATGGCGTCCCCACCACGACGCAGGCGACGCCCGTGACGACCTCCGCTGCCGGCAGCTGCAACGGATGCAAGTCGTGCTACTCGACGTCGATCGGGTATTGCTTCCCTCCTGCTTTCAGCAAAGCTCAGTGCGCTACCTTTGTGGACTTCAAGACCATTTGGTGCGGTGTCTAGTCGTATTAGTCGTTGCAAGAGTTTAATGTTTGCGTTAAGAGCATTGTGCATCGATTCACATGTCAAACCCAAGATTATTTGGAAATCTTCCAAACAAAAGCATGCAACATGTTGTACGTACTACCTGTTGTATAATGGTAACTAGTACTTCCATCAAAATTGTGTTGGTAGCACCCTGGAGTACGTCCTTGACTAATTTGCGGACGGTTTGCAGTGTCGCACGTTCTGTCGGTGAAACCGTCAATTTGCGTATCCCAACCGAGTCAGCAAACGATTTTTCGTTACAGTTTGAAACGTAGTATAAGCATTTGGTCGAAGTAACGAGGGGACTCCCCCGTGGCGCATTGGGTGCGGGGAGAGGGGGGCGCCGTCGAGCGTCAAGATCGCTCCTTGCGACACAGAACGTGACCAGCTGGTGGCTCGACGCATCCACGCCCCTGCCGCCCCCCAACTTCTCCACCCGGATACGTGAAACCCTAGTACGAACTTGAAGTCCTAGGTGCGTCCTCTTCCAATCATGCTCGTCGATCGATGTGGCGGCGCGAAACACGAAGCTTGAGCTCGTAAATTGTGGCCATGTATTTAATTTGGGTAAACATACTTGCACCCCACGAGTACAACACATCCCCGTTGCCGATCAACGCCATGTGTCATATGGACATGCGCGAGATGCACGAAACATGTCTTTTTAGCCTCGAAGGAACTTGCGTATCACACATGTCTTGCATTCCTATGTGAACACGCTGTAATGGGATGGTCTCATCAACGACGAACGGCTGCCTTCGTCAACTTGGGGGGGTCATTATGGCTGGCTCCTTGCCATTTCCATTGCCTTGATCGCTTCGATTGGACTTCGCCTCTAGCATGGTTCACTTGTCCATCATTCTGTCTACCCTCGCGGTGGTCACGACCGTGTTGGCCGTTTTTACTAGGTCTCAGATAGTCATGTACTTGGGATTGACGCTGGCGTTGGTGCTGTCGTTGGGGATCCGTTGGGCGTTGGGGGCTGAATGTTAAGTGTGGGGGGGTACGCTCCAACTACACACTTCGAGTCAGACTTGTTCGAGTTTGTTACGAAAGCGCTGACGTATCGACACCAAGAAATCTCAAATGCGAATCCTTACACCAACACTACAATTATGTACCTGAACCACATCGACTTGAGTACTGTACTGCGTAACATTAGTACTCCACAGTATAACGTTACCGGCAAGGTCATCCCGAGAAGCAACAAATTCCAGTTGTATTAGGTATTATATCTGGCAAGGTAGAATGAGTTTTCGTGCGCTTTCCATTCCCGGAATGGTAGCGCTGACAATTGTGAAGCACAACAGGTTCTCGAAACGCACATGCGATCAATCAAACAGTACTTTGCGCCAGCGGAAGTTGTACGTGGCGTGTGTGCTTTCTGGAGTGGGAACCAGTGTCACTGAAAAGTCTATCGAAATGACCAATAGTATCCGAAGCCTCCTTATGGTATGACTAGGAGGTTAGTGTGGACACTAGCGCAAGGATGACACACATAAATCCAGAAGCATCGCACTTTAGTCTTATAGGCATTTTTATTGCAATGGGATCGAACGATAAGGGAAGAAGTAAGGAGGCAACATCATGCACTCGCACCACCGACGAAGCGTACTCTACGAATCGGAAAGACCTGATGATGATTCCTGGTCGATGTAGAAAGGCATGGAACCGTGAATTGCCATAACGTTAGTACCTCCAACACCGAGCACTTTCACCTCATCCTTGCTCGAGCTAGGCGCCCAAGCTACCGGGTCGTCGTCAGTCCTTCCCAACAGTCCGGGCGAATGGTCATTTAGAAGTCGTTCGTTCCTCCAAATGGGTAGAAGGATCCTCGGACGTCGCGGTACTGGACACGACTGTGGTGAATGGCCACGCAACGGTTGCGAGGATAGGTCTTAGTGATACACCGAACGGAAGGATGCTCGAGGAAGATGTTCTAAGCGCATCAGGTGCAAACAAGGTGAGTGAATGCGGCTGGTCAAGGATGATGAACAACCATGGGAAGGAGGATTTGCGCTCTACGCGAGCGACTCTGAAAACAACGACCGAGGGTCACATGAAGTACGGCGAGTAAAGTGATGAGCCATCAAGGGTTTGTAAGCGAACGTCGCACAACACATTGCAGTGCCCGCTTTGTTGTGTGAATGCAACCTCCCAAAAGGAGGCTTCAAACTCTTGATAGCCTCGTCCTGCTGGTTGGTCTTGCTCTACTCTATTGACCCAATGATCTTCACTTGCATGCGACGCAAGAAGCGCTAACGCCCTTGATGATGTTCAAACTCGTTCGTCACATGATGGTTGCCGCCGCAAGAAAACTCAACGTGCGTGGTTGATTGGCTTGAAATCGGGCACCAATGAAACGCTCGCTTGTGGATTTCACCGTGTCGAAATAATTATCGTACATTGAATAAAATATTTTGCTTTTTGTATTCCCTTGATCATTTATGAATAAAATACTGGAATCTATGAATTTTAATTGCACTGTCACGGCTTCCTTCGCCATTGGAATTTCGACCCCACCTGACAACCCAAAGTCATGCCGATCGACATCAACTTGTTGCGCACAGAGCGCGGCGGCAACCCAGAATTGGTCCGTGAGAGCCAACGCAAGCGCTATGCGGATGTGGACCTCGTGGACCGCGTCATTGCGCTAGACGAAGCGTGGCGCAAGAAGCAGGGCGACTTGGAAACGCTCAAGATGAACATGAACCGCCTCCAAGCCACGATCAAGGACTTGTACAAGGCCAAGAAGAAGGACGAAGCGCAAGAGTTGGTCGACCAACGTAAGCGACTGGAAGAATCCGAGCCCGCGCTGAAGCTCGAAGCCGACGCCCTCAAGGAGGTCGTGGACCGCGAATTGTACAAGATCGGCAACCTCGTCGACCCCTCGGTTCCCATCTCCCAGAACGAAGACGACAACGAAGTGACAGCGACGTGGGGCACGTGCCGTGCGCACGACGACTCGTTGCACTACCACCACGAAGTGCTGCACCGCATCGACGGGTACGAGCCCGAGAAAGGCGTGCAGGTCGCCGGCCACCGCGGATACTTTCTCAAGGGCTATGGCGTCATGTTGAACCAAGCGTTGATCATGTACGGACAACAGTTCCTCATGAAGCGCAAGTACACGCTCCTCCAGCCTCCATACTTCATGAACAAGGACGTGATGGCCGGGGTTGCGCAGTTGAGCGAGTTTGACGAAGCTCTGTACAAGGTCACGGGCGCCGACGCGAACGATGAAAAGTACCTCATCGCCACCTCGGAACAGCCCATGTGCGGGTTCCACAAAGGTACTTTTCGATATTTTTCTTCTTTTTTCACCCATGTCTTTTTAAATTCGATCTTTTTCTCTTGAGTGTTCTTTAAATGTCGTTGCCATTTCTTTTTTTGTCCTTTACTCGTTCTTTTATGTCAAGTGTTTTTTTCTTTATGGAATTCCAGTATCCTTGTGGTCGGTCTGACGATATCATGGGACATAGGCGAATGGATCACGGAATCGGCGCTCCCGATCCGCTATGCCGGTTCGTCGACGTGCTTCCGCAAGGAAGCGGGGTCACACGGCAAGGACACGTGGGGCATCTTCCGTGTCCATCAGTTTGAAAAGGTCGAGCAGTTCGTGCTCTGCGAACCGGAGCACTCGCCGGCCATGCTAGACGAAATGCTCGCCACGGCCGAAGCATTCTACCAGTCGTTGGGCTTGCCGTACCGCGTCATCAACATCGTGTCGGGCGAGTTGAACAATGCCGCGATCAAAAAGTTCGACTTGGAAGCGTGGTTCCCCGCGTACGCCGAGTTCCGTGAGCTGGTGTCGGCGTCGAACTGCACCGACTACCAATCCCGCGCCATGGAGATCCGCTGCGGCATCAAGAAGATGAACCAAACCGAGAAGAAATACGTACATCTGCTCAACGCGACGCTGTGCGCGACGACGCGTACCATCTCGTGCATCTTGGAAAACTTCCAAACCCCCGAAGGTGTCCGTGTCCCCGAAGTGCTCGTTCCATTCATGGGTGGTGTGACGTTCTTGCCGTTCGTGAACGAGCCTAAGGCCAACACGAACGCCCTCAAAATGGAAAAGGCGGCGTCCAAGAAGGCGTAGGAGATCAGGGAGAAGTAATACCATGTCCTCTTGTCATAGGGATGTCTGTCACGCAATGTATCATGCGAGGTTGCGGAAGGGGTCTTCATGGACGGTCGTGATGACGAAGTACTTTGATGCATCATGCTAGATGCCGCTGCATGTCTTGGTGGGCTGTCGGATTGCCGCCATCACATCTGCTGTACCCGTCATTCTCACACAAGCAGAAGGTTCAAACCTGTGAAATTTAATTTGCGCGCGAGACTCGTTATATAAATCATGTGATCTGTGTCTAATTTCAAGTATAAATTGAAAACTACTATTATATTCAGTCAAAATAATATAAAGTGTTGGAGGGTCATCTCCGTTTCTGGAATGCCACGATGTCCAGTTTGGAATTGACGTGGAAGATGGCACATCTCGAGAACGAGTACTTGACCAAGAAGTACCAGAAATGGGACCACTTCAAGGACGACGAGGAAGACGGCACGGCACTTCCTGCATCTGCCAAGCCCACACAGTATGATCATGCTGGCGATGGTACGTCCCCTCGATCCATGAGATGAGCGTGTTGTCAAAAGCGGTTGGATTGATGATGTAGCGGACATTACGATTGTCGACCAAATGCTTCTGACCCCCGCGCAACTACAAAAGTACAAGCGCATGGATCAAACCAAGTCAGAGATTTGGCAAATTGTGGTTCGCAAACTACGCGTGTGGAGTGCCTCCAGCGAAGGAGCCGCCGAAGGCGACGAAGCAATTCCGTGTCGTCCGTACGCAATCCTTGTCAACAACATTTATCCTTTGGGCCAGGTCTTGTCATATGATGTGTTATACTGCATGAGTGTCACCACAATTTGATATGTAGGTTGTGTCCAAGAAAATCTGCGACCCGCCGCAAATTTTTCCATCCGCACACGAGATTTTGGCGCTTAGTTTGGACGCGATGGCCGATCCTCCGAGCAGCATCCCCCAACATCGACCCGACAAAATTGTGTTTGCAGACAAGAAATTGGTTGGGGAACTTCGTGTGTCGTATGCGGCATTGGGTACGTGTTTGCTGTCCCGTTAGTCGTGGCTCACGTGTCGACAAAATAGGTATCGAGTGCACGTACTTGACGGAATCGGAAGGCATCGACGCGTGCATCTCGTACGCCTACTTGCGTCCATTGAGCGCGCTTCATATACCTGTGTAGAGAATTATCGGGTCATTTGGTGCGCAAAGACATGGCATCCATTGGTGCCGTCAGCGAAAAACCCGGCTTGTTGTCGTTGGGGTTGACGAATGATCAAGTAGTGGAATTGTACGTCGTTCGGAAATCGCTATTGCAGCTGCTAAGCAATCTTCTTGATTAGCTACGAAGCGTGTGCCAAGTATGCCGAGCTGCAACCGTGGCGACGGCTGGTGGAGCGCCAAGCGATCCAAATCGACGCCACGACCTCTTTGGCCTTGAACTCGAAGCCTCAATCTTCGGTATGGAACTTTTGTACATGCCGCTAAATCTCAAATGTTGTGTGATGATGTTAGGTGCAAGGAGGGTCTGTGTATGTGTCCGTGTTAGGTCATGTGGACGATCCGTCGACAGAAGACAGCTTGAAAGGTCGGTACTTTACTGCTGCTTGCCTAATAAGTCTTGACGCCATAGGCCTGGCGCTTTTCTTCACGCGCACGGACTTGCAACGTCGAGTCTTGCCTCCAGGTAGGCCGTCCCCACCGCAAATTCCGTGCGATTGAAGTGGCTTGCATGCAGGCCAAAAGTTGGCCTTGCTGGAGGACGCCAAGCTTCGGCGCTGTGCCACGTGTGACAAGAAGGCCGGCGTGGACAAGGAGCTCAAGCGATGCACCCGGTGCCAATGCGTGTTTTACTGCGACGCCCAGTGCCAAGTACGTACTGGATGATATTGATGTACATTCCCGCCCACACTCCATCGATATCCCGTCGGTCACATGTCCTGGTTCCAGCGCAATCACTGGAAAGACCACAAAATCAACTGCGTGGACCCGTCGAAACAAGCCGAGCAAAAGGCGCAGGTGTGGGGCGCGCGGGAATTGAGTGTGTTTTACGGCAACATCACGGCCGTGCCATTCGACGACTTGGACGCCATTGACAAGTAAGGACATGCTGTCCATATTATATCCCTCATTCTCGACTCAATGTTGTAGATTGAACTGCCGCATTGCAAAGGACCCGGACGGTAGCGGCCTGTACCCGACGCCGATCCTGTTTCGACATGGCGAAGCCACCCTCCCAACCGGCGCCGACTTGTTGTGGCTCGTGCGGGGGCTTCAGGCCGTGATCCACATGACCACCACCTACCCAAACTTCGTGAATGCCACAATGCCGGAACTGCTTGGCCTCACGGACGACGAGTCCAAGCTGACGCTGCCGATCTCGACCATGACTGGCGAAGAAGAGACCGTGGTCGTGCGCAACAGCTCCGTGCTGAGCTTGCAAGACGTCGAGCTCCTTCGCGGGGCCATTGAAAGACGCGAAGCAGAAAAGCACGCCACCCCTCCTCCGGCTGCTCCAACTACTACTAGTACTAGTAGCGCCAAGGACGACGAAACTTCGAGTTCGTGCACTGTCATGTAAATCCCATGTAACTTGTATATAACGTACACATGTGACTTGATGGAGCTCAAAGTACTGTACGTGGTACGCAGTTTACCGTTACTTGGACCACAACGAACACATTTGGTCTGTGTTATGAAGCGTGTGACCCACGACAGCACTGGAACACCAAGTCACCCCAAGTGGTACGTTCGTTCCCAGCGGGATTACGCGTGCATCCGACATCAAGGACCCATCCATCTCATTCGCTCCTGGATCGATGCATAGCTTCCTCCATGGCCCCATATGCTTCATGCTTTCTCAACCTACGCCTCGATTCCTTCTCGAGGCCAATCTCCATGTGTTCGTACAGCTTTCGCCGCATATGTAGCATGCATACCTTGGCAAGTCCTCAAATCTCCTCGCGCTCAGGATGGACATTGGATCTTCAACGGTTCGAATTCCACCAATCACAATCGTCGGTGGATCCAACCGTTGCATTATCAGTAGGCATCGCCGATCGCCCGAAGGCCCCGCCGTCTCCTCCATGCCACTGTCCCAGCATCATGGCGAATCGACCACGGACGTTGCGTTCATGGGGATGCAGACTCCTGGACGTCAGGCCGACCGCCATGCATCGTATGAGTACATGAGTCCACATGATCGTAAATCGTCCACGACATCGTTCTTCCCGACATGGGTCAACACTTCATCGTTGTCCTCGACGAGGTTGTCACGCTTCAGCAAAACGACGTCTAAGGAGCGAGGCGACCCACCACCCTCCGTTGACCGAGAGATGTTGCTGCAGGAGATGGAGACGCTTCTAGGGCTGGAATCGCAAAGTACATGCGCATGGAGCGAATGCGAAGAAGCGCGGGAGGCCCACGAAGCCCAGTACGCCTCGTTGCGTGCGAAACTCGCCGCATACACCCACACCATCGCCGAAGTCCCTGTCGCGTCCCATCATCCGAACTGGGCAATCCTTCGGGACATGGTCGACATTCAACTGCCCAAGTTCCTCGCCCACCTCCAGGTCAAGATCAACGCCAACGACGCCAAAGCGCGGCATATTCGCGAGCAACTCAACTTGGTCCGTCAGAAGCGCCTTGCCGTACAAGACCTCATCCTGCAACTAGAATCCTCGACTTCCATTCCCACACCAACCTCGTCCGCGTCGTCCGCGTAAAACCACCTATTATAAAGCAATTACAACTTGTTCAATACTAGTAATACAAAACTAGTAATACATACTAGTACTAGTAGTACTGTATCCATGCCATAGTTTTTATAGTATGATACTAGTAGTAAGTACTATCGTAGGGTACTACGTAGTACTATTAATAGTTGAAGACAGAATATTATTGTAGTTCCCTACAATAACAATATTAATAGTATTAATAGTTAAAAACAATATTAATAGTATTAATAGTTAAAAATACTTATACTACTACGTAGTAATAACATTATTCGAAAATCACACTTGTAAGCAAACCCCTCGGACTAGTACTACTACAGTATAAGTAGTACTTCGAAGTACTATTTAGTAGTATCTTTTCTAGCCGTTAGATTATTTGTTTTTTCATCAAAACAAATGTTTGTTTTTGCGGCCGCCTTTTTTGTGCTTTTTCACCACGTCGAGGGCGCGGTCCTGCCACTTGCCCTTGGTGATCTTGACCGGTCGGTTCCCAATGTATCGTCCGTTCATCTCGCGCATGGCCTTCATGGCGTCGAGGCCGTCCATGAAGCTCACAAAGCCAAAGCCCTTGGACACGTGCGTGATCTTATCACGAACCACGCGCGCCATGGCAAAGGACGCGTACGCGGCGAATGCTTGGGACAGCAGCTCATCCGTGACTTCGTTTCCTAAATCCCCGCAGAAGAGGCGGTAGTCGTTCTCGGGCCATTCCGCCAACGTCGAGTCTTCCCAGACTTTGCCGGCCGCGGCGCGCAGAAACTTTTTGCCGCTCGGTGCCTGATGTGTCGCTGTAAAGTTGTGCTGTGGCTTGTACCTGTACACGCTTTGCTGCTGGTTGAAGATGAGCTGTTCCTTTGTCGACAGCGGCAACCCGGTCACGTGGTCGATCATGAGCTCCAGCTGCACGGCCGCGCCGGTCGGTAGCGACTGGCCATGCATGATGGAAACGTTCGGGGTAGATGATATTTGATCCATGCGGAGGACATTTGGTTGGGGAGGCACAAACATCGCCGGTGGTTCCTCCGGGACCTGCTTGTCCACGCGCTTGGACGGGGCGCGAACGATCACCGTTTGCACAGGACGAACGGGAGGTTGGTTCGCTGTTGGCGCCGGTGCAGAAGCTGCTGCCTGCAGGATCTTGTTGGCGACCTCCATGGCTTTCTGGCGCTTTCGAGCCACCTCGTCGAGGTCGAGATCCCCATCCAAGGGACGCTTCGACGAGGACGCGGCGACCTCTTGACCATCTATCGGCACAGTGGGGGCACTCTCGGATATGACTTCCGTCTCCAGCGACGCGATTTCTGCTTGGAAGCGCGCAAGTTCATCCTCCAACGACTCGGCCATGTGGATAATTTACGGTGGTTCCGCTCAAATTTGAACGCACCTGCAAGACCTGTAACATTGGATATTTAATTAAACAGGTTTTGGGTGTGTCAGTAAAAGTGTCAGTGAAATGTTACGTCGGTGGTCGACACTACTTCGCGGGTCGCCCGCTTTGCCATGGCGGCAATTCTCTAGTACTTCCGACGGACATGTCGACTACATCGAAGGTGTGAAGTTGTTGCAGCTACAGGACGTGGACAGCGCGATCTCGCGATGGACGTCGGCGGCGGACGCAGGCCATGCCAAGGCCTCGAGTGCCCTCGGGCACCTCTACTTGCTTGGGAAAGGTGGCGTTGTCGAGCAAAACTTGCCACGAGCAGCGCAATACCTCAAGCAAGCTGCCGACCAAGGTCATGCCAATGCGTGCCACCAGCTAGGTCGCATGCACCTCCTTGGGTTGCATTTTGCCGTCGACGGCGCGGCAGCGTTGCAGTGGTGGGAACGTGCGGCCGAACAAGGGCACACGGCGGCGCAGTACGATCTCGGGTACATGTACGACAAGGGCGTGCATGTGCCCGCGGACAAGTCGAAAGCGTTCAAACTGTTCTCCCATGCAGCTAAGGAAGGCATGCCCGAAGCCATCCGCGCCGTCGGCAACGCGTATCTTGTCGGCGACGGCGTCGAGGCCAATCCCGCCAAGGCGTTCAAAACGTTTCTGAAAGCGGCCGACACGGGCAACGTCCAAGCGCGCTTCGACGTCGGGGCGTGCTACGCGCTCGGTCGCGGGACCGACGTGGACTTGGCCAAAGCCGCCGCGTCCTTCTTCCTGGCGGCGGAAGGCGGCGTTCCGGAGGCGCAGCTGTGTCTGGCGCAGCAGTATGAGTTTGGCCGAGGGGTGGAAGCGGATTTGGCCAAGGCCAAAGAATACTATACGATGGCGGCTGCGAAGAACGTGCCCGAAGCCATCGCCCGACTTAAGGACTGGCCGAACTGAATCACTTGAAGCTACAGTTTGTGGCTGTTTGTAAATAGACGATACGTTCAAGCAACAACTTGAAATGAAGGGAATATTTCTAGTGCTTTGTAGATGTACCATGTCCCTAGTAACAGTTAGGCGAAAGTCTGGGGGAAATCAAGTCGGCAGTCGAAATTGGTACGTACATGGGGGTTGCGTACAGTATTACATGTACTACACCTTTTGCAGTTAAGTTGGACGAATGCCCGGTATATTTGGTCGTGTGCCCGATATATTTGGTGCATGTGCCCGTTAAATATATCGGGCACACGACCAAATTTCGTCCAACTCAACTGCAAAAAGGTGTAGTACAAGTTTATAGCTGGGGCCGCATTTCGTTGGGTTGTGTGAGTGAATATACTTACTATAATAATAATAGTCACTTCGAAGTACTGTACTTCGAAGTAATAGATAGATACTAGTACTACGTAGTATATATTAGAATCGACAGGGTGTAAGTTTTTAACCACGAAGACAAAACTTTGGCCATGTAGAATGCATAGACTACACGAGACAGGATGGAAGAGCTGTGGAAGGCGGCAATGTGTCGCCTACTATGTATGTGTTTTTCGAGTGTACCCACAAACACAAACGAAATCACGATCCAACACAACCACGTTACGTTCCAAAGCGCAGCTACGAGTTGTTGGTCGTCATGAACACATATGTAAAGGGTTGCCAGCCAGCAAATGCCGATGCCGTGGGGCGTTACATGGCGGCGTAGTCTCCGCCCTGGCTCTCGACATCGTGCGGCGGGTCGCTGAAGATTTCGGCTTCGCGGTGTTGGTCCTTTTGCTTCTTCCAGATGAAAAAGCCAACGGCCCCGGCCGCCGCGAGCGAGCCCACAACGATACCGGCAATCGCGCCACCAGACAAACCGGTCTTAGTCGCGGTCGTGCCGTTGGCGGCGCCTGTGGTGCCCGCCGACTGGCCGGACGTGGTCGATCCAGAGGACCCACCAGCCGTTCCGGCAGTCGTTTCGGCGGCAGGGGTGGCCGTGGAGGGAGAACCAACAGCATCGCCGCTGCCGCTCAAGCCAGACGAACCGCCATTGGAATCAGAACCACCAGAAGTGCCACTGCCTTCGCTGCTGCTGTTGGGAATCGACGGGGCGGGGGTTGGCAAAGGTTCGGTGGTCGTCGTGGCGGGGGGAGGGGCGAACGTGGTTGGCGCAGGTGTGGGGACCTCCGTGGTGGTAGGACGAGCGATGGGAGCAGGCGTGGTTGGCGCAGGCGTGGGGATAGACGTAGGAGCGCCGGTGAGCGACTCCACTCCCGTGAGCGGTGCGACCGTGGTGGTGGTCGGCCGAGCGGTGGTGGTGGTAGTAGCAGGCGGCTGCGACGTGGTGGTTGGTCGCGCCGTGGTGGTGGTGGTGGTAGGCGCCTGCGACGTGGTGGTGGTAGGCGCCTGCGACGTGGTGGTAGGTCGTGCCGTGGTCGTGGTAGGTCGGGTGGTGGTGGTGGTAGGTTGGACCGTGGTCGTGCGTGGAATGGGGTTCCCAAACAAGTCAAAGCCAGTGCACTGTGCCGGGGGCATCAACTTGAATCCTCGGCACTTGTTGATCTTGCCGGACGTGCATTGGGATTTCGACGACTGCGGCACGAGCTTGTACCCCTTGCACTTGGTGCAGTCTTCTTCGCCTGTTTTGGTGTCGGATGGCTTGCATCTAGCTGGGCAGCGGGCGATGGGCATGAAACCCCCGCAAGGTTTCGGGGCGAGGAAGAACGCGCCTTGAGCCGCCTCGTCCAAGTTGATGCGATGGCGTCGTCCGTTTCCAAGAAGCAGCGCCTTGTCCAGGGGGTCGCGAAGAAACATGGTCGGCATGTCGCCCTTGACGCCGGAACTGGACGTCACCACGCTCGTGCTGAGCACCGTCGCAAACAATCCGATCCAGCCGCGCATGGTACTACAAATTCAAAAGTGCGTCCTGAACCGACGCAAGATTTAGAGGTCGTGGCGTCGTTTCGCCAACGTTTCGGCACCAATCACAGGTCGCAACCAGAGAAACCAGCCAATCAAAGACAACCAAGGCCGCCTGTTCACGGGAAACCGACGACTGCTCGGACGAAACCGGCCCTACCTTACGATTGGCTACGTTGAGAATAGACTGTAACCATTTTTGTCATTGTGGTGGTGGCAACGCGATGTAACCGCCGCTGCTTACGAGGGAACCTATTCATGGAGAAGGCTGTTGCCCGTCTGAGAGATGCTAGTAACCCACACCAAGGAAGCCTGTGGAAGGAACAACTTACTTCGATAGATGGATCTTATTCACAGGATCACGACCAGTGTCGGAGGTGATGGGAAGCTGCCGTGTAACTAGTATTCGGGTATGCCTAATATACGTATACTTCGAAGTACTATTAAGTTGCATGCTCCAAGACGAGATATTCTTCGAGACGTCAGCCAGAGAGTCCTATGTTGCGAGGGAGGCCAGAAGAGTCGAGGCTTAATGTCACAACGATGGCATTTGCTGTGCTCTACACGTCTGTTAGGCTGCCGATGCAGACACAGAACGACCTCGTGCTGCCCTAACTTAGCTGACAAATGTATACAAATATATGTACTACCGGTAGCTGGGAATACTATACTACCGTATTTGCGTACTATTAATCTGATTGGTTGAATATACTTGTCCTTTCTGTAAGAGCCAATCCAATCCACTGAAAAGTGGATTAGCCAATAGCAATAGGTCTGGAAATATTCGTATCGAATCCACAATATATACATACAGTACTGTGCATATTCGAATTGCATTGAGATTGTATTGATTTTTTAAAATATACTAATCGCGTTTTATATTTCATGGTGCAGATCCACGACAAGTAACTGTACCGTACAGTAGTGAATCGTGTTGTGCACTTTGCATACTTACTCGGCGTTTCTATTATATTAGTATCATACGAACGGAATCCCGCTGAACGTGCGCGCCTTGTACGCTGGGTACTCGGCCGGAAAGAATTCGAGCAGCAGCTCTTCCTCGTACCTGTGGATCCACAAGAAGGTCATGACGAAGTGTGGGACATGGAAACATGCATGAACGAACGTACGGAATGCGATCCTTGAAGAAGCTCCACGACGCGGCGGCGTACGCCAATGTGCACAACGGATTGCAGAGAAAGACTTGGCTGCCAATGCTCCAGTAGAACCAGCCAAAGTACGACGGATGCCGAATGTACTTGTACACGCCGTGGGTCACGAGCGTGTGATCCTTGCGCTTGGCCACTTCGATGCGGTGACTAAAGTTGGACTTGGCGGTCCACATGGCGCCGACGCGGAAGCTCGCGCCCAACACGATGAGGAACAGTCCCACGGACGACACGTCGTGGATGTACTTGAGCTCGGGGAAGAAGTGGGATTCGAGCCAGAATTCCACGCACCCCGCGGCGAGCGCCATGTGGTAGGCATCGCTGTGGTTGAGGAGGAACGCTACGCAAGGAGGAGGAGGAGGAGATCAGAGATATGAGGTCACGGCGGAAATGTTCAGACGTGCGTCAAAGGAAGGAGGGGCAATACGCACATTCGTAGCTGACAAACCCTGGCTTGAACGCCGCCGTGCTGATGAACTCGGAAAAGTGGAAGAAGGTCAGGCACACCACGTAGAGGGACCACTGGATCACTGCGTTCCGATACACCCACGTGTCGCCGTCGGTGAGGAAGTACGCCCAGATGAACAGACACACGTGGAGTGCCATGACGAACCCCAGGCCAAAGCCAGCGATGGCGACCTTGCCCAGGCCCACATCGGATGTGAACTGGATCGACACCATGTTCCTCTCGGCACTGAGCGGCGGACGTGGCGTGTTGATTGCTCAGTGAATATGGTCAACGTTAACCACCCCTTTAAAGTGCGAATGGATCAAATGCGACCCTATAAAGTACGACTGAAACGGTCAACTCGAAAATCCTTTGGCAACCGCCACGATAACATGGTGGACACATCGGCGCATTACGGCGGCGCACCGGGTGACGACAAAGCGCTTGTCGAGGTGCTATATTCACCTCAAGATCATGTGCGTGTTAAGTTTGATGGACGTAGGTGTACTACTGGGACAACACGGACCCTGCCGCGGCCGCCGACATGACGACAAAAGCTTGGGACTGGACGCGATGGACAAGCGCCAAGGTGTTTACGGGCCTCGAATTTGGCGGGGAAGTCGTCGCGACGTTTCTTGGCCTCACGCGATCCAAATACGACTGGATCTTGGAGACGAAAGAGCGCGATGACCAGGAGCGCGCCATGCGGCAATTGGAGAAGCGGCAGCGCAAGCAGCTTCGACTGATGGAGTTGCTGGCCGAAGAAAAGCGAAAGCTGCGCGAGTTGGAGAATGGCGCGTCCACCACCACCCAACCAAGTGATAGTATTCTATTGTAATAAGGAAGACTCGTTCGTGTAAATGCTGTCAACTATCGTAGGGACTACATGCTGGTTTGACATAGTCCGTAGTGAATACGGAAGGAGTGGGGGTAGCAGTTGTCGCTGCTTGGAGTTGCAGCCGGCAAGCGGCGAGTTCGTGCTCGAGCCGGTGGATGGTGTCTTCGTAGTGCATCTCGCTGGTCATGACGACGGAATCAATGATGCGAAGGATGTATCCCACTCGAAATACGATAAGAAGGCCAACAACTTCGCGCTCTTCCTGTCCATGCAGCACAATGCTCATGGTGAACGTCGACACGACGACGACGGCGTCGAACGCGTGCAGCCAGTTGTGGGCGTAATACGTCCATCCCAAGAACATGAGCTTTGCGACGGTTTCCACAACAAAAACAGCCACAATACCCAGGGAAACATGGCCCAGCACCTCAATGGCCGCTTCTGTCGAGTCAGTTCTCCCGCCGATCGCTCCTTCGTCCGGGCACGTCGAGTGCGCGATGAGGGTCAATGACAATTCCCCCACGACACATAAAAAGTCCACGACCACAAGGCAGAGAAACACGATATGCAGCAAGCGGGAACGAAGCCATGCGGCGCAAGTAGCGCGGAGGTTGGCGATGCCGCCTCCATCATGGCGAGATGAACTCATAAGTGGGAATGTAATGCCAAAACCAGGTGGAATTGAGAACAAGTCCAATTTTAGGGTGAAAAGGGCATCGAACTTAATAGGAAAAAATAATTTATGAAAATAATCCTACAAAGATGCGTGACTAAAATTGTATTTTTATAACAAATAAGATCAATACCCTTTAATGTCACGACTTATCTAGTCAAGGAAAACGTACTTTCAAGAATGTCATTGGATTTAATACACTTTCATACATTATTCTAGTTATTATTATAAAATAGGTTGCATGCATTAAGTGCGACGTCAACAAGGCGGCGCCATGCGCTCCATAAACTCAGTTTTCCGCCGCTTGCATCATGGCTACCCCTAACTTTGGCCCTGCGGTCCAAGATTTGCCACCCAAGGGCGGGTTCCGTCCGCTGCGCTTCGCCCGCGGCGTCCCCGAAGTCCGCGGACCTCCCGGCTGGGCCATCTTTGCCGGATGCTTCGCCGTGACCTCGTGGGGGTTCTACCTCGTCGGGCAACAGAACCAAGAGACCCGCGCGTTGCGCCGCGAAGTCCGCGAACGCCGCATTGCGATGCTGCCGTTCTTGCAAGCCGAAGAAGACATTGAGTTTCTTCAGAATGAAGCGTATTACTTTGAGCAAGAGAAGGCGCGCATGAAGAACGTGCCGGGGTGGAAGGTCGGCGAGTCTGTGTACCACTCCAAGAAGTGGCAAATCCCATTGTACGCCAAGTAAGACACAGGACTGTATCGCATGTGAAGTTAAAATCAACCACTCCCTTCACGTTAACCGTCGTGTGCAAACAATTCCGCCAACACGTCGTAATTGATATTCTTCGACTTGCTCCGTTGTTTCGTCTGCAACGCCTACTCACGACAAGTGTCATTCTTCCATGTTGATCCCCATGTCAACGTACATAAATAGCATGTTGCGCTGTCATCTCGGGGGGCGGCGGCACGTCAGCGGCGTCCCCGTCCACGGACGTCGGCACCTTGATACGCTTGGGCTTTTTCCGCTTCGCCGGCTGGGTTTCCAAGTACCGATCCTTCTCGGCCTACACATTTGTCAAAATCGTCAGAAGATAGGATATATTTAGCCAATCACGTCGCACGAAACAACGACCATCAACGTCGAATTAGTGTATGTACCTTCAATTAGTGTGATAATACCATACAAATTCGAAGAATCATAAGATTTGGCGAAAAATCAACCAAATTTTGGGAAAACCAGTCGTTCTGTACCTTGGCTTTCAAGTAGTCGGCATGGATGGTTTCCCATAGATGGGTCTTGGACGCGGCTTCGGATTCCGTGAGGATCATGGCGTCGATCTCGTGGTCGTCAATGTCCACATCTGGTTCAATAGTGCTATTGTCGTCGTGGGGTCGTTTCTCGGGCCGTGTCGGCGGCGGCGGCGTTGCTGTCGAACTAGCCACAACCACTGACGTCGTCGGTTCTTCCTGTTCGATGCTGTCAGTTAGCTCCTGCTCGAGCGTGGCAAACAGCGCCGCGTCCGCGCGTTGCTTGTGCAGCCATCGCCGGCCTCGCTTTTGCACCGACTCGACCAGCAACGCCGCCGACGTCCTCGATGCGTGTGCGAGCAACGCCGCGTTCTCATCCTGAAACCCATACTCTTCTTCTTCTTCTTGCAAAAGCGGGACTTGTGTGGTCGAGCTTGGAATGGCGGCAGCAACCTTGCCAGACGTGGACGCATGCTGCCATTGGTTCTCGATGCGAAGCGTCCATGCCGCGGAATCCACGGGCTCTATATAAGATGATGATGATAGTCAAGCTAGATTCTAAAGCATGGGCAGCATGCGGCGATCGTACCTTCATCGTCCATGTCGAGAAGGAGCGTTTGCATGGCTTCGCGTTCGCGATTCTTGGAATAGCATGGCGGGTCACACTCCAGTAGCTGGATTTCGACTTTGCCCATTTGGTCAAATGTGAGCTGTCCCATGGGCGTGACGGCAAACTCGGACAGACGCTTCTTGAGCGTGTTCTCGCCGATGCTGACGATCTCCGCCACGTCCGACAGCGTGCAGTGGACGTTGTGGGAGCGCGCGGCGATGAGTAGCGCCGCTCCGCAGATGCCTATAACAACCGTAGAGAGATTCGTGAGAAAGAGCGACGATGATGATGGAGAGGGTACCGGACGGCCGTCGACCCGTGTCCATCCAGTCGCGCTTCATAGATGACACGAGGCGCAGCGCCGTGATCGCGACCACGTGCATCTGGGACCCTAAGGACAACTGGGACGCGAACCGATGGATGTACAACGACGGATCGATGAGCGGGATGCTGAGCTGCAGCAGGCGACAGAACTTCAAGAACACAGCCCCCAATTGAAACACCGAGATCTGCAGCTTGTCGCTGAAGTCGATGAGTAAGTGCGGCGACTTCTCCCTTCGACACACGACGTACAGACAGGCTGCGACTATCGTCTGCCACCGTCGCCCATGTGTAAAGTTGCGCTGCAGCGCGAGACCGAACAGCCGATCCGCGCTCTCTACGTAATGCTCGCCGAGGCGCAACATCCCCGCCACTTGCTTGATCCGTCTCCGACCCGTCGCCAACGTTGCTGCACGACTCTCGGAATCGTAGTGCTTGCCACCCATCCCAATGTTGGTGCTCATCTTGGTCGCATTCCCAGACACAATCTGCCCGATCACGGAATGGCTGCCGCCGCTCTCGGAAAACTCCACGGACGACACAATCACATTCGATTCCACGACGGTACCACATGACACGCAGACGGATTCACCGCTGGCTTCGTGCGTGTCGATCTCTGTGCACTGACATGTCGGACACACCAAGCGGCCCATTAGGATGGGAGAAACTTGGCGGCGTTTGTTAGTTGGCCGTGTTGGAAATCCACACTAATTCATGGTTCGCAATGCCTCGATTTAGTGTACGTCTTTACGTGCCAGTGAAAGGTCAATCCAAGATTACACTAAATAAAGCTTCTAACACTATTCATGGGTCGTTCGGGAGCGATCGATTGTGATTGGTCAGAACGAATGGAATTTCGCGCGCAGTTTCAATATATTGGCGCGATGTCGCCGCCGACGTCCGTCCATACGACGCTTCTTCCTTTGCAAGAAAGCACTCCGTTGGATGAGTCATGAGTGAGTGCTACCCATATTGAAAACGAGCAGGCAGTTGACGACGATGATGGATTCACGATGCCAGAATATGCATGGTTCCTTCTGGAGTCTCCCAGAACGTCGGCACGCCAACCTCTGTCTACATGACGTCTTGGATGGTATTCAACACCATGCCACTTTACCAATGTCTAACGTTAGTGAAAGGTCGATGTATCCCGTGTACACTCCTACAATGCCCTGTGCTTCTTCGATCGACGTCAACGTACCGACAACAGTCGACTCAAGAAGCTTCACGGTCGAACAGCTTGTGTCACCAACAGAAGAGACTATCCCACCACAAGTAACAACGGAAACAGTCCGTTGTAGCGACTCCAAGCGTGGCCGTCGCGTCCGATGTCGTCAATACATGCATCATGCATGCATATTGAGCTAAGTTGGTTCCTACACCACGTGCACATGCCGAAATCCATGGCGCATGTCTGCTTTCCATGAGAGCGATGTCAACCATTCTTGTTATCATGCTGCGTGTCACCGACGTGCGGTAGAAAGGGCGGTTCAAAATTCAAAGCGTATCCGGATAGTATTATCCGGATTTCTCACCTGCAACGCATCAATCAATTACCCACGAGAGCATGACTGAAGTTCGCCGAAGCAAGCGCATCGCGGGAAGCGAACCTGCCGCCCCCGTGAAGGACGCTCCCGCCAAGCGGACTAAAAAGGAAACTGCGCCCCCAGCGAAGAAGGGCGCCAAGGCACCGACCGCGGCGGCAAAGAACGCCGAGAAAGCCGTCGACGCCCCGGCATCTGATGCTGAGGACAAGCACGAGAGCAACGAAGAGGCGCCAGCAGTAGATGCTGATACCACTACTGCCGCGATCGTCGAGGACGACGCCACGGAAGAGGATGCCGCACCTGCTGCACCCAAGGTCCTCAAACTTGGAGATGTCGTGCCCAATGTTGAATTGCTCAACGAAAGCGACGAAGTGGTACACGTCCTTGACTTGGTCAAGGAGAAAGGCGCGGTGTTCTTCATGTTCCCCAAGGCGGACACCCCTGGATGTACCAAGCAAGCCTGTGGTACCGTTCCGTCTACCTTCTTCCTTGCAATCTAAGGACACGCTCGTAGGTTTCCGCGACGAGTATGAAAAGTTCAAGAGTGCGGGGTACAACGTGTTTGCGCTCAGTGGCGACAGTCCCAAAGCGCTAAGCAAGTGGAAGGCGAAGAAGGAGTTGCCGTACAAGTTGCTGTCGGACCCGAAGCACGTGCTCATCGCTGCGTTTGGCAGCTCCAAGCCGGGCAAGAAAGTGCAGCGGTCGCATGTGATCGTCGCGGCGGGGGGCGCCGTCGTCGACATCCAAGCGCAAGTATCGCCCTTGGACAGTGTCGACAAGTCGGTCGCGTTTGTGTCGAAACCGTAATCCAGACCAATCTAATCATCCATCATCGTCGTCCGTACATATGCATATTCAGTCTGTTTTTATTTCTGGCGCTTTCGACTTGCCACGTCATCCGACACGACCACCTCGCGCTTCTTGAATGGGTTGACAAACGTCGCCGCCGATGGTTTGGATGGCGGCTTGATTGCTTTCGCCGGTTCAACATGCGACGATGTTGGAGATGAGGATGGGATACTAGTACTGGTTCGACCAGCCATGGTCGGGATGCGGGAAGGAGGAGGGCGCACGGACGTCGTCATGTGCCGCCGGTCCACGGCGTTGACCTCATCCACACGTGGGGATATAATGTCCATAGGAAACGCCGCGTCTTGGAGGCGTTGCAGCCGCGAATGCAGTTCCCGCAGCCCAAAATGGGTGGCAATCTGTTGGGCGATCGCGTGGGATTTCTCTAGGGACAAGCACGTGGCGAGATCGTACGCTTTCTGGACATCGTCCGAGGCGCACATGGCCTTGACACGCAGGAGGATGGCCTTGTCCGCCGCGGCCAGAAGCGGCACCGCTTGGTCCGATTTCGCGGGGGCGGCAGTCGCGGCGTTATGTGCCGGCCACAGCGCGTCGTCCTCGACTTTCTCGTACGTCCATGTCGACAGCACCGGGCGGTGGAGTCTTGGGAGGTGCAGCGGTTGGTCGTTGACCTTTGGAACAAAGTACACGGTGCCGTCGCGCACGCCCACACAAAAGATGGGGCCGTGGGAGTGGCTTGGATGGACTAGCGGCATCCACTGGCCTCCCACGAGGTCGCTCTGGACAAACACTAGGCCCGACGAGGCTTGGACAAAGAAGAGCACGCCCATGTCGTTGAATCCAACCCATTCGACCACCGACGAGGATGGCATCGGTCCGTCCGTGAGCTTGGCCACCCGCGGCAATGCCGGCTGCACCGCGTACACGGCACACTGCAAGCCAGAACGAGTCGCGTACAAGATGGCGAGTTTACCCGACCGATGGCTCGCCATGGACACGATGCGCCCTGGGAGCGCAAACACGGCGAGGACGACGCCGCCCATCGAGTACACCCGGACAAAATGGGCCGAGCTCGCGACAACGCAAATCGCGCCGGCGGTCGTGACACTCACCACGTCTTCGCCGTCGGGCAGCGACACATGCCATGAACTGTTGGAGTTCCACGACTCGATGGGGCGGTACGTGATGACCGCGGGCATGTCGTCGTGGACGGGCGCGGCGAAGATGGCGCCGACGTCGTCAAACGCGGCCATGGTCAGGTTGTACGTGTCGTGGAACTTGAACCCGCGCTTGGACTTGTCGTGGAAGCGCAACACGATCAGGGGTGTGTGGTCGGCGGATGTCAGCGCTTCGATGTCCCCGAGGAGGTTCCACGCAAGGAGGATCACTGGTCCTTGGAGCACCGCGCCCGGCTGAAACGATGGCTGCACACTCAACGGTAAAGGCACGGTGGACGGCGACGATTGCAGCAGCGGCGCGTCCATGGCGGCGGCCACGTCGTCGTCCTGGTCGTCGGCGATGGTGGCCTCGTGCAGCACGGCCATGTCTGGGTCAAAGCCAAAGCTCCGCTTGATAGCGTTGACTTGGAGCTCTTCGTCGTCTACGGCTGGATCATCTATGGACAAGATGATGGCGGGGTTGGTTGGACGAGTAGGAGGAGAAGGAGGAGGGGCAGGGGAGGCTTCCACCAGCGACGGCGATGATGGCATCGTTGCGCGGGTCGAGGGAACGAGAGGTGGGACGGGCGGCGTGACGAGGGGAGCTGCAACAGTAGCGCTAATAATGACGTTGGCGGGAGGAGCATGGGCGGAAGGAACGACGTTGAAAGCGTGCCCAACAGATCCAGATGACATGAGGACGACAAAGCTGTTGGCATCCACGAGCCACGACAGCGCCATCACGTTGTCGTCGCACTCAAAACTGGCCACGACAGATTGTGTCGCCACGTCCCACACAAAGATCTACGCGCGAGTACGACGTCTGAGAACGAAGCGAGGCAAGGTACTGTACCTGCTTGGCCATGGAGGCAGCGGCGACGTACTGCCCGTTGGGAGAGAATGCGATAACGTTTACGTCCGAGTTGAACACGCCGTCGAAGGATGGAAATACGAGCTTGCTGGACAATGTCCACGTGTCGCGGCTGTACAACGCGACCGTGTTCATGCGCATGGGGGTGGCCAAGAGCGCGCCGGTTGTCGGCTGCCACGCGATGCGCGCCAGCACTTCGTCGTTGGACATGCTTTGCTGATACTGAATCGGAATGCTGCTCGACGCAGAGACTTCGCCCGTGTCGCCGTCCACGTCGGAAATATTGAACAGCTTGACCGTGCCGTCGGCCGCCGACGTCGCCACATACGTTTCCAACGGGTCGATCGCGATGCTCTTGACGGTTTCCTTGTGCCCTTCCAGTACCAAGACGCGTTCCATGTTGGCGCGCACGACGATGCGACTCCGCAGGTCTTCGCTCACCACAGCCACATACGATTTGGAGCTTGAAATGTATTTGATCTCTTCTGTGCACCGCAGGTAACATCCCTCGAACGTCGCCTTCGCACCAAGACTGTACCGGTTCAACAAGTAGTTGTCCGACGATGCCACAAACACATCGCGTTGGCTTGCATCGCTCGACGTCGTCGCGCTCACACTGATGGACGGGACAGTGCCGTCATCGGTGACGATACGCATGGACTTGATCTCCTTCAGTTCCTTCACGTCCGAAAAGCACACGTACCCATCTTCCCCACACGTGACGGCAATTCCATTCGGAAGCACATCTAGATCGCCGAGCCCCGGTGGGTGCACAGAGAACGACGGGAGCGCGCGGAAGGTGCTCATGCTTGCAAGGGACTGAATCAAAAACTCTCTCCCCTTGTGGCGCGCAAGTGCCTTTCCCGGTAAAATCCACCAATTGCAGGCCAGGAATCATGCTAAAATGGATAAACCACCAATCAAACATTAACGAATAGATCTTAAATCAAAGTAACCAATGAAATCACGGTAAAATGTTTCTTAAAATCACGAATCAAAGTGACCAATGAAATCACGGTAAAATGGTTCTTAAAATCACGAATCAAAGTGACCAATGAAATCACGGTAATATTTATCTTAAAATCGATCTGCACATGTACCGCGACTTCGTCCAAGGAGCATGGACGGAACGCTCCATGAGAAGAGTTAGCAGTTCTCGGTTTGTGAAGGTCACTCGTACGCCGTCACGTGCACTACCGGGAGCCATATGTACCAGGTGTGTGTGTGTAGTAGCTACAACCGACAGAGTCATGATGTATGAGCGAGACGTGCGCCGTTGGATGTCTACATAACCAACGAACGCCCAAAGCTTTCACAGCGGCATCTCGATGTAAGCAGTGTGTATTGATAGCAAACGCCAATTTGTCCGATACTATCCTATATGTACCTCTTGGACTATGGATGCTTATTGCACAACTTTGTAATGTCTTCGTACGTTCGTCGCTTCGTGAAACGAATGAACAACAACCGAGGGATTGAATAGTCATATGCATGTTTGAAGGGGGTGGTTGATCTACTACTACTCGGTCGTTTTGTGCTTTTTCGACTTCTTTGACTTCTTCTTGGCCGGACTGCCGCCATCATTTGGTGCTGCTGCTGCGACGGACTCTGCCGGAACGTTGGGCACGACCACCGATTCCACCAGCGAAAAGCTTCGTGCAAATGGCTTGCCTAGGCCGTTGTGGGATGAGAACACATGAAGATATGACGTGTGTGTGTCCCCATATACGAGTCATACACACACCTGGGACAAAGGTCTGGCTGTTGGCCTTGTCAGGGACGAGGTTCACGACTTGGGAGTACAGGCTGATGTCGTTGGATTTCAGTGTGAACTGCTTCTTGTTGCCCTCGACGTCCACCGGCACTTGGACAAATGCGTTTTGGTCTTTCGGTAGCTTGATCGTCACGCCATGCAACACGGACGCATCCACCTACCGTACTCAACGAATCATTCTCTGTCCATCATCTTTATCATTCACTTAGTACAAAACGGTCCGTACATTCTTGGGGACGCGGAAGAACCACAACTCCTTGTCTTCCAGCGACGCCTTCGAGATGGACCCGCCCTTGACGCTTTCAAAGCCAGGTGGCAACACAAATTCCCTACATACACAAGTTTCACATCAACGCCCTGCCACCTTCACGTCATCATAGTCATCTCCATATCGTCATAACTATCCATGTCCATGTATCTTACTCTTCCGAGTCGCTACCAGAGCCGGCGTCCGACATTTCCGCGCAAGATATCGACGATTGGCGCAAAGCGGCACCGTTTCCACCGCCTGTGATTGGTCCACAATTCTTCGCCTCTGATTGGTGGAATGACCTTGGCACCCCATATTATTATAACTTTCAGACCACTGTACAGTCGGTTTGTATGCATAATAAACTATATGAATAAAACCAAGGGCGAATTTAAAAAATTGGAAATGGCACGTTTTGACTGGTTGCGGCAGCCACTGGCGCTGTGGTCACCACCACTGGGAGCTCAGCATTTTAGTAAAATCTCCTCAAGGGCATCATGGTACGTCGCCGCTGTCACCGCCTGATCGTTCCATGGAGGGGTATGCTCATGACGATCGTGATGTGTAGAGCAACGACAAGAACAACATCATGCGTGAAATCAAAGTGGAAAAGTTGGTGATCAACTGTTGCGTGGGGGAATCCGGCGATAAGTTGACCCGCGCTGCCCGCGTGTTGGAACAACTGACTGGCCAAAAGCCCTTGTACTCGAAGGGTATGAACTGACCTTCGAGGTACCTAGAGAACACAGTGCCCTAACCGGCCCGTTCTCGGCCACCAACTTCGTGCGGACGATTTCGTTATGAATGACTCTTGCAAAGAGGTGTGCTTCTTGCGGAGCCTTTCTGGGTGTCAAGCTTACTCTCGAGTGACTTGTTGCATCCCCGATTGCGCATCCTGTTCAGTTCCATATCCCTCCTTTGCAAGACGACACGACGACTTCTGCATGATGTTGGTGGAGGTACCTTCCCTTGTGATCATATCTCATGTCGCGTCGTCCATGTCTAGCTCGCTACACCGTGCGCACGTTCGGCATCCGTCGTAACGAAAAGATCTCGTGCCACGTGACCGTGCGCGGCGAAAAGGCGCTTGAAATCCTCGACCGCGGCCTCAAGGTCAAGGAGTACGAGTTGAAGAAGCGCAACTTTTCCGACACGGGCAACTTTGGGTTCGGGATTGAAGAGCACATCGACTTGGGGATCAAGTACGACCCTTCCACGGGCATTTACGGGATGGATTTCTTCGTCGTGTTGACCCGCGCGGGCATGCGTGTGGCGCGCCGCAAGTTGCGCCAAACGCGCGTCGGCGCCCCCCATCGCCTCCGCAAGCAAGACGCGATGAACTGGTTCACGACCAAGTACGAAGGTCTCATCATGTAAATCATGACACTGCAGCCTAGCCAACGTCATAACACGCACTTGAGGAGCTACTTTTTCCTGTTGTTGTGTTACTTGGGCTTCATATATATAGAAAGATATCACAAAACCATTGAACTGTTGATAAAATATGCAAATCTGATGGGATATTCAAAAAGAGGGGAAGTTCTAGTTTCTGGAAGGGGGGTACGATAACGCTGATTCACTGAATGATACAAGTTATGAAGTTGTAAAGGTTTCGGGTCCAATAATAGGCAGACAATTACTAGTAACAGTTTCTCGTTCGATACTTTTCAAAATATAATGAAGCAAAATTATTATTTGTATGCAAGTTTATTAAAGTTCACGTATAATTCAAGTAAGATTGATACAAGAATACTTTGGGAATTTGATAAAAAATATCATTGATTTTGTATTCAATTGCAGACAAATACCTTTCAATAATTCGTTTCTTAATTGCCATTTCTCGAATGACTCGAGCAATTCAGCACTTGTGCCGAAGAAATTGTGGGCTCAGGTAATATAATTCGATACGAAGAGATTAAGAGAAACCACGTCAAAATCTGACGAGCCGTTCAAACGAAAGCTTTCTTTTCGCCCATACATTCGGTGTCACAAAACCATTGGTCGAAGAACTTTGGGGTCTGGTAAATATTTTTCTAAAAATAATATTCAAATTTCTCGATAAATATATTGTATAGGATTAACCAAAATGCCATTTTCAAAATGGAGGTAAAAGGTAAAATGGGATTAGGGTGCGTATGGTAACCGGGAATATTGCATTACAGTAGTGGAGAAAAGTCGGACAGGTTATACAGGAACCAAGTGATCGTCGGACCATATGTTCGACTTTCTTGTTCATTGTAATATGTATTAAGTATATACAAAAGCGAAGTCAAAACCAATTGCCAGCAACCATCAGCACTGAGTTACCACATGCACAAAGAAGGCGGTGGATAAGAAAGAATATCGCAATTTATGTCCATTCTAATGCGGCTTACTGCTTCGGAACTTTTCAAACTTATTTATATACAGCAGTGCAACTTTCGGCGGCTTTAACCAGCCACTGTATATATCAAGCAAGACGGAGCTCAAATGATATATCATAGCGAACTTTGAAATGGGTGTGGGTAGTACTGTACATGTTAATGAAAAACTCAGCCGATTAACAGTAAATCGAATGAGTTCTCAAAACCCGCTTTCCCGTGAATAGTAAAGTAGCGATACTCTGTATATCCGGACGGGCTGAGTGAAGACTTACACTTAGTATGGCCAATCGGAAAATGATGTCGTCTTCTTGGAGTCTACGCACGAGCATGTCACCATGCAGTAGACAAACCTGTAGTTGTTGACTAACCCCAAAAAACGTTCAATAAATGTGGCTACCGTTCAGCCAAGACTCAAAACCGTTCAAACTCTAGTTAGCTGAGGCATATTTTTTGCACTCTGATCACCTCAACTCATACTAGGGGTTTGGCATTATACTTCGAAGTATGTGCACGCGGGGGTAGGCGAAGTCCTGGGGTTAAAGGGTTACGGGAAGAAATTTGCTTGAACGGTTTTCAGCTTGGCTGAACGGTGTCAATATTTATTGAACGTTTTCCCAGAGTTTGCGTAGTTGTTTGTATGATGACTGTGCGGGCCCTTGATGCAATAACGCTATTTTCATTCCGTAGAACAGGCCTCGTCCGCCTTGGATATGATGTATCTGCTCTTTCATTGGCTCCTTCAATGCTCTTTTGACTGTATACTTGAATGCTCTATGGACTGTACACTACAATGCTCAATTGACTGTATACTTCAAAGCTCAATTCACTGTTTACTTCTATGTTACTATAATGAATTCCCCGCAGTAGATACAGTATCCTTACCTTCAAAACACCCAACTCCAATGGTGCGACAAGATCGCACATACAAAGATCAAGAAAACAGTCCACACTAATTCACTGGAAGTCCATAATTACTGCACATACAGTAGCGGCCCGAATAGAAAAGCATGGCGGTAGCTGCTACCTTACCACCTCTGCCATTTGCGACTCGTTCCTTTCATTCTGCAATTGACTCCACGATCAAAACCGCAGCCGTCTTGTCTATCGTGGCCATGGCCGCGGCCAACCACGCTAAGTTAGATCAAAACGTGCTTCAATCGCTACAACAATCGTCCACGGTTACTGTGTTTGTCGTCGTTCGCATCTTGAGCACGTTGCACAACGCCAATGTCCTGATCGACTTTGCCAAATGCTCCCCCTCGGCGCTTGTGGCATTTTTTAACTGCAAAGACTTGACCCAGGAAGAAGTCTACAGCATCGCGGCCCATCCCGACGTCGAGGGGATCCATCTTGCCCCAAACAGCTCCGCTGCTGACCGTCCCAACATCACCCCCGAGCCTACCACCACCGCGGCCACCCCTACACATAGCGCTGACCCTCCGAACATCACCCCCAAGTCTACCCCCACCGTGACTGCCCCTACGCATAGCGCGTGTAACGAGAAACGCGATTCTTCAGACGACCGTGACTAAGCGGTGGAGGGCAAGCCCCCGAGTGCCGTTGTCGCTGTTCGTGTTTTAAACTTTGAATATACGACATTGATTGAAATGCTTACAATACGCACAAAATGTACTGGGTTTGAAGCATCATACTAGTATGCTCTTCATACAGATGCAGGGAAATGCCATAACGATACCAGCAAAACGTAGTTTTGCGTATTATAGTGCTGTAGTAGCTAGCTATGGTAATCATATCAGCAAACCTTCGCCAAAATGTGAAACCTTCACCAAATGTGAGCGTACTTAACAAAGATTATCGCACTTCTCAAATATTACATTGTAACAGTCTGTAAATCCAATCTTTGGACAAAACCACAAATTGTTGGAGCAACATTGATTGGCACATAATCTCTCAGTTACTCCATATCAAGTATTCACTTTCAATTAAACAGCGCCACCATGATCCTTGCTCTTGGAATGGAATTTCACTCAGACAAAGCCTTCGTAGACTACGTTAAAGGCTACTAGGACGCTCTAAGCGAGAATAAGCATGTTCGAGTGAAGTCTCATGGTGGGAACAACAGAACGGTATTTTGGTCATCCATCCGGGAGCAATTCCCCGAGTGCGTGGGTGGCACACAAATGGTCAAATGCCCACTCACTCATGGAATTGATACTGACTGACCTAAAACGCCCCTGAGTAAGTGGGTGGGACTAATTGCTTGCTTACGATAAGTACAATCCTAGCGTTAACGTGAAACATGAAGGCATACAACGTTGTACAACGTTAATCATACCAACGGTGAATGCTACTTACTGTAGTAGTAGTACTGTACCGTTAAACAGTATTCAATGTATGCTGTGTAGGGTAGGAATTCGAGTGGTAACTACAGCTGGAGTCTCCAATTTTGAATCGATTTGACAATATCAATGAGCAATGCGAGTTGGCGTTGTTTGTGTCTCCAGCTCCATAGCGTTGCCGGATGGATGCTCTTGATTTACTGTTAAGCCAATATTTGAAGTGCTTTTAATTCGCTAGACTTAATGGAAGTGACATACGCGAACGACAAAAGTATATTTCGACAACTACAAATGCTCTAACGTTGTGCGTCGAAGTTCTTCGGAGCATTAATCTATATAAAGTTACTACTTGCCCCAACCAACGTTTGTATCCAATTTTCAGTAAGCTACGCGTAAACTTCAGTTGGTTGTCGGAGTACCGGTGATATCGGTGATATCGTTACGTAGAATATTTGTTTATGGGAACAATTGGATTTGACATCGTTTACACTATGCAAGGCATCAATGGGGTTACAATTCAATTCAATCAATGTGGAAGTGATTGCGAAACTCTTGAGTTGGGTACTTTGAGTTTAGTGTAAATTGAATTAGTGTGATTCTGAATTCAGTATGTTGGATTAAATGTAGTCGTCGACGAAGGGCTTAGTGATACTGTAGTATCAAGTTAGGACTACGCAACTACTATTCACACAAACTCAAATATTCTGTGAATGTATTTCAAAGCACCAAATCAATACGTCACAATAAAGCCCCCTGCCCGCCCCCCAAATCAAGACATGGCTTACATCGCTATAATATGTATGCACACAATGAAGTTGGGATTGGGGCTGTGTTCAGTGGGTAAAATAATATATATACTACGTAGAAGATGATGATGTGTGGCATAATTTCGGTCGGGCGTAGGAACATGTGCTTTGTGTTAGATGATTGTGGATGAGGAAGTGAATACATAAGATCTCCATAGCAATTTGCGAATTACACTACCAGTAGTGGGGTAATCACGATGTCAATTCTCCAGAGATCGAAACCTCGAAACCTTGTTAAGTTTGGGGGATGATGCCAACAATATAGTGACTTAACACTCCCAGCTTTAATGATAATATGATTCAATGCTTTGAAATTTGCAGGTTGATTTGCTGTGTATTTGCGCTATGAATACATCTTTGCATCCCCTCAAATGACACATCTTTGCATCCCCTCAAATGACAGTCTAGAATTCAATGTAGTCAAGGAAGGGGGAAGGACTTTCAATACTAGTAGTAAAAAAGGGGGGGGGGCAACTAGCATTCAATCAATCCCAACTAAAGTAACACCTCAAATTAGTACCTTCAAAATTAAATACCGGATATTACTACCGTGTTCCCTTCACTTATAGAGGTAACGTTAATATCTCCGTCACAACAAATATTAAGAAAAGCAAAAAAAGATTAATTTAGATTCACACACAGCAGATATGGCGCTAGTACATGTAAATCTTCGTTGTCACAATAAAACTGGTCACTTTCACACAAAACCAGTCGTCTTCACACGTTATCACAATAATCTCGTCGTTATCACAACAATTCCGTCGTCAATACAGAGCACGGGGCGTTGTTACAAACACGTCACGTTTAATAAAGACTTGTGAGGATGGATTTTTTTTCCTGTCCCAATAGAGTCATAGACCAAGTCATGTTGGTGAGTTTATTGACGATGGTAATAGCTGGTCTAAATAGACGGTAGGGGCATAGCCTTGCTTCCATTCTACACGACGCAGCGCATGAATACAACGATTCAGCCACAAGGCAATCTAATGGAAGCCTGGTGGACACAGTGTACTTCATGACACCAGTCGTCCTCAGTGAAGCCTTGTCAGTTTGCGGCGTAGGCTGAAATCCACCCCCCCAGTCCACAAGTTGTCATTCTCAAGGTAACTAACCAGGTAACATGTAAGTTAAATTTCAAAGTGTCAAATGTTTGATTTATATTTGTTAAGTGCGATAGTCTTTGTTAAGTGAGCTCACATTTTGGCGAAGGTGAATTGGAATCGCGCGGGATATTATGGCGGCGGCAACGATAAAGGTACAGCAGTAACTTGTATTTGCCACACATTCCACGAAATCTCCTTTGGGCTTACTTAACGACGATTCTATCTATCGTATAGCATGGCTATAAATTACCTACCATATTCCGGCGGGACTTGTACCCCCGATTTTTACCATCGGAGTTGTACCCATTTCTCTCTTCAAGTCCTATTTGGAAGATTCTGGGCTTTGCTCATGGAGTTGTACCCATACATAATATATTGGTTGATAATCATCCAATTAACTGTACACAATCACGTTTCACTTCTCTGCGATGGATGGATCTGAAGGCTGTCGATATTGTTGTTGTCTCGAGTGGTGAGGGCACGCGCTCGTGCACCTGCCATGAGATATGCGGCGACAGCTTAACTGTCGACGATCTCGTCGTGCTCCGCCTTGCTGTATAAGGTGACCGTGAAAACCTCGAGGAGGTTATGCAGGTTTATCGTCTGGTGGCCACCAAACTAGGCTGTCATGTTGGCTACCACCCACTGCGCCTGCTCAATCACAAAGACGTGCTAAAGAGCAAGATTACATTGGTTGTGGAGGACCTTCGTGTGTCACCCAGTTGAGCGCGCGTGTGCGTTCAGAATGAAATGTCGGTATAGTTAAGGCAGTTCTGTTCGAACACATTCAAGAGTAACATGCAAGCATCGGAAGTTAGTGTGCAGATAAGTGTTGCATCTAAACTACTAGGCGACGACATGGTCATTTCAAAAGTAACAAAGTCGCGGCTTCATCAAGTCAATCAAATTCAAAAGAGGTCACATGTATTAGCCAATCCTAGCATCTTTTATGATTTGAAAGCATTTGACTTTCCGCACGGGGTTCTACCTATTTGGATCAGATTTTGGCTACATTTTTGGGGGTACAAGTCCCGCCGGAATACGGTAGTTGTACAACGCATTGGGTTTGCGGAGACTACTGAAGCCTGAATACTCAGAAAGCTCTCCTATGGTCAAGGCCAGTGCTCCACTGGAAGACAGACTTCCACGGTCCTTGGCTGCAAATTACATAGTGTATTACCTGAGAGTGTCGTCCATCGCATGTCCTTCTTGGCCAAACGCTTCTACTGGAAAGCAATGGGGTGCGCATTTTTTTCGAGCAAACGATGGAGCATTTCCGAGCATGCCTTAGAATGGATCGATTTTGAGCAAAATAGTCCAGAGAGACACTTTCCGAGCGTACTTAATAGGCACAAGAACATGTGTTAGTCATTGGTGAATTTCCGAGCAAACAAAATCATATGGTTACTAAAATGCCAATGCTGAGTGTCAAGAAGGGGCACTTTGGCCTATCTGCTTTGGCCTCTTTGGCACATCCGGATTGTATCCGGATTTTGTGCCCTCTGGGCAGATTTGGGCTCCGACGGCACAAAACACCGGATAACGATATTATCCGGTGTTCCCTTTGGTTGGCTGTAAGCAGTCGGTTAATCCTCACTTTCAGTTTTGCCCCCGACCACACAAGTGCTCTTTGTGTTCCTCGTGCTCTCGCCCCCTTCCTCAGTGCTACCTCTTTCCTCATCCCCTTGACACTGAGTACTGTGGCGCCTTTAATGATACTTACTGTTATGTACTAGTACTACGTAGTACTCCTAAGTGTCATCATCGAATTTATCCCACTGCATCCCCGTGCATCCCAAACAATAATTGTTGACGTCATCATGGTCACCAGCCCCAGCATTCTTTCACCAGAACCGTACCCTTTCCCCCACGGAGACTACGTCTCCACCCCGGATAGCGTACGTGTAATGCTATGCCCGGGGTTTGCGCATTAACAATCGTTTGCTATCGCAAACGATTGCCAATTTGCAAACCCCTTGTGGACTGTGTGTTGTGTATCCAAAATATTGAATCGAAATGAATCCATTGTCCCAGTTTATCCCACTTGGGAATATCTTAACTTTACTATCAATCCGGTTTGTCCCAGTGAACCTAAGTACGCTCGAAAAGACTGCAACAGTCTAAGTACGCTCTAAAATGCTCCATCCCAAAGCCTCGCTCGGAAATAATCCATCGTTTGCTCGAAAATAATCTTTTCCCAAAGCGGTGATAGCGAAGTTAGCAAGCGTAGACTAGACGAGATGGCATACCCAACCATGTATGTTCTCATCAATAAATATAACCTTTGATTTATGTTACATGCATATCATTCTCGTTCTTGTGTCCGCGGATCCAGAAAGTCAATGTGGCGGGACGGGGCGCAGGC